GTCACGGTTCGTTTACGAGGCTGAGCACGAGAGACGCGTGACGAGCCTCGCTCAACCAACATTACGCAAAATCTCATCACCGCAGATATGCGTATATATAGGGTTATGTTATCAACCGACGACAAAACATCGAAAAAATGCATCCGCCGACCTTCGCGCTACAAAATACGTGGAATGACACTTGCGCAGAAAACGAATCAAAAAACGAGACAGCGTTAAAAGAACGTGCGTTTGCGCGGATGTCATTCGATCTTCCAGATCGAGGCTGAACGCCAGATGGCGCTGATTGTCTCTTGCTAACGCAGCATATGCGTCAATCGTTCGCTCGCGTACATCTAGAGAACGTACATCGATATTGATGTATCTGCTCTGGTACACACTATCTGTTTCAAGCCCGTATCGAACTCTCATCGCCTTTCGTATCCCACCCTAATTGGGTCACCCGTGCTCCAACCTCACGTCGCCTGTACCTCACCCCAGTGGCGTCACAACATGATTAGGGGCCTGTAAGCAAAAATGATATATACGTCACCCGTACCCCACACTTACGTCACACGTACCCCACACTTACGTCACACGTACCTCACTCGTACTCAGCTCGATAAACGGTGTGAGGGGGCAAATAAATGGAGTGAGCGACAACCCACAAGCACGGCCTCATGCCACGAGCCCGCTGCACATACAGCCTGTTCTGCTAGCATCTATGACAAATACGACATATGCATATACGCTCTCCTATGACACTAATTGTTATAGGAAGATTCTTCCTATGACAAATATTGTTGCATATGTTGTGGAGCTTTATTGTAGGAGTTTAGGAGCGCAGGCAGAACATTCGTGAGTTTAAACCTGTCATCGTCGTCGTCGTCGTCGTCGTCGTCGCTAGTTCTCGCAGTGTAGGAGAACTACTAGAGATGGGAATAAGAGGCTTGCGGGGTACGCTTACAGAATTCAGTCCGCACGCTGCCCCGACCGGCCGGGTTTATGGTTTACATGTGGTGCTGCAGGGAGAAGGGACAAGAATACAGGTTATAAGGGTTTATTAACTGCTCACCGCTTTATTGCTGCTTCTTCGGGGCGAATGGAGAGTGGAAGTCGGTCTATTATACTATAGAGAGGAAGAGATAGAGCGAGAGAGAGAGCGAGAGAGAGAAAGAGAGAGAGAGAGAGAGAGAGAGAGAGAGAGAGAGAGAGAGAGAGAGAGAGCACGACACGACACGAGCATTGTTCCAGCAGCAGACACACACACACCCACACATCACACACACACACACATATATATATATATTATACATATATATATCTGGTAGCGGCGCGGACATTGGTGCAATTATATGTTACTATAATGGCTATATTATATGCATGCATTAGCAATGCCAAAATGAGGCCATTAAAGTTCCTTTCATCTGGGCAGTGTGCGAGATAATATGGCCTGCCGATCACAGACAGACACAAATGATAAACGTAATAACGCGTTATAATACATGTATGTTTCTGTAATCAGCGGCCAATCATGTCACGTATCGCTTACCAGTTGTGTGAAGTTTCCGCACGGTAGTCACAACCGCACAGCGGCGGCAGGAAATGTAAATAATTACAGCGACAGGTTTTTTAAGTCGCGGCACGCGCCCCGGGCCGCGGCGCGCGCGCGCCGGACCGGGGCCCACGGCCGCTCCCCGCGGGGCGGTGGGCGGGGCCGGGCACCGGGCGGGCGCGTCGCGCGTACCGCGGGGCACGGACGCCCGGGGCAACGGCACCCGTGGCGCCGGAGCACACCCCCCGGGCGGAGGGGGCGGCCCCCACCTGCGCGGGGCGCGGGGCGGGGACAGCGCCGCGACGCGCGCCGGGGGCGCCGACGGGAGCGGCCCCGGCGCCCGGACGGGGGTCGCCGCCGCGCCCCCAAGCCGCCGGCGCCGGCGGCAGGGGGGCGCCGGGGAGCCGA